AGTAGTAGCAACATGGATTGAGAGCCCCAAGAGGGCCAAAATAACACAGTGGCCAGAATTTATTGCTAGGGCTTTGAATAATAGATTTCACTTGAACCACAGCCAAAATCTGCATGATAAATATAACAGGTGATTGCCTGCTCCAGTACAGTATTAGAATTTTAAAGCAGGCATCAAAAAATTGCTTTGACACAGTTACATGTTTTCTTGAAAAACAAACAAGAAAATGAGGACCCAATGAGTTGTCTGACTTAGTAGTTAAGATACTTGGGACAAACTGAGTTCTATCCCTGGCACCCACTTGGTGGAAAAGGAGAGAGCCAGTTACCACAAGTATACAGTGACATGCATGACCCTGCACTCTTGCACTACACACACAATGTGCACTGAAAATAAAAGTCATAAATTATTTTTTAAGAACCACTTTGTACATTTATTTCTTTGGGGGCGTTGAGCATTTGGGCAGTGGTGTGCTGTGTATCTGGTAACCAGAGGACAACTTGAAGGGCTCCATTCTCTTATATATACAGTGTTCTGCCTATATTCCTGCACACCAGAAGAGAGCACCAGACCTCATTTTAGATAGTTGTGAACCACCATGTGGTTACTGGGAATTGAACTCAGGACCTCTGGAAGACCAGCTGGTATTCTTAACCTCTGAGCCATCTCTCCAGCCTCCTAACAATATTTTTAAATAAAATTTTTAAAAAATGAAAAATTAGTAAATCTAAAGAAAGAAATATGTTATTAAAAAGATGAACAAATGCTAATTTACATGTTATAAATTTGTATGTCAGCATGGCAGTACATACTTGTAATCCCAGGACTCAGGAGGCTGAGGCAGGAGTTTGCCACAAGTTCTAGGTTATCCTGCTGTAACTCAGTAAGTTCAAAGACAACCTGGCCTACAGAGTTCAAACCTTTTCTTATAAAAAAAAAAAAAGAAGAAGAAGAAGAGGGCTGGAGAGATGGCTCAGAGGTTAAGAGCACTGACTGCTCTTCCAGAGGTCCTGAGTTCAATTCCCAGCAACCACATGGTGGCTCTCAGCCATCCGTTATGAGATCTGGTGCTCTCTTCTGGTTGCAGATATACATGAAAGCATAATGTTGTATGCATGATAAATAAATAAATTCTTTAAAAAAAAGAAAGGAAGAAAGAAAGAAAAAGAAAAACAAAGCAAAAATCTAAAGCAAGATCCTGGAGAGATGTCTTAATGGTTAAGAAGAGTACTGGCTGCCCTTCCAGAGGTCCTAGGTTCAATTCCCAGCACCCACACAACTATAAGTGTAGTCCCATGAGATCAGATGCCCTCTTCTAGTGTGCAGACTTAATACATGCAGACCAAACACCCACATACATAAAATAGATAAGCCTTAAAAATCTAAAACACGGTGCATGGAAGTGGCGCACGCCTTTAATCTCAGCACTCAGGAGGGAGAGACAGGTGGGTTTTTGTGAGTTCCAGGCCAGCCTTGTCTACAAAAAGCAAGTATGAGGACAGGCTCCAAAGCTACAGAGAAACCCTGTCTTGAACCCCCCGGGGTTCCATCCTTAAAAGGGGTATCATTGAATTTGGCAGATGAGTAGTAATTACTCAGTTTCATCATTTGAATAATAGTGAAAAATATATTGGAAAAAACATTATCTGAAGGACAAGGATAAAAATTTTTTAAAACTTAAACTTGGGCATTGATAGCTATTACCATCAGAGTCTTTAGAGGAGAAAGCATGCAAGACTCAGTGACTGTTCCATGAAATACTCAAAGATTCCAGAAACTGGCTGGGCTTTGGTGGCTCACACCTTTAATCTCCCAGCACTCAGGAGGCAGAGGCAGGCAGATCTCTGTGAGTTCGAGGCCAGCCTGGTTCTCCAGAGTGAGTGCCAGGATAGGTTCCAAAGCTACACAGAGAAACCCTAAGAAAGATTCCAGAAACTAAGCCAGGTGTGGTGGCACATGCTTTTTATCCCAGCACTGGGGAGGCAGAGGCAGGTAAATCTCTGAGTTAAATTGGAGGCCAGCCTGGTCTACAAAGTAAGTTGCAAGATCGTTACACCCAGAAAACCCTTTCTCCAAAAAAGAAATAAAAGCAAGTTGGGGGGGCGGCGGTGAGGAGTACTGAAAAAAAAGAAAAAGAAACTGAACTGAAAATTCCAAATGTAAAAAATACCCAACACCTCATAGCTAAACTTCTGTTTTCAAGTTAGCAGGAACTTTTTACAAAAAGAAAGATAAAAATCTTGAAAGCAGTAAAAAGAGACTGAGCACCGTCTACCACGGAATTAATGACTGTTTCTGACCAAAACCTGAGGACATGTAGTAGCAGGTGTTTCCTCATGGCTACAGGAAATAGGTGATAATAGCAAAGCTATCCAGGAATAGAAGAGACAGAAATTCTCAGAGTTTACTTCAAGGACAATTAGGAGCATTTGTATCTGGTACACAGACCCTTGGAGACAGCAAACAGAAAATCTCCCAAAAGGTGAGATGAGATGTAACAGAAGGGTTATTTAGAATTTCAGTAATGGGAAAACAGCAATAGATAAAAAGGTATCAATATTACAGGCATAATTGATTAACAGAGGAAAGAATGGTAGTATGAGTGTTTGTGTGTGTGCAGGTGCATATGACACGTTTGTGTGGAGCCCTGAGAACAACCTTAGGTGCCATCCTGAGGAACACCACCCACTTCTTTTGAAACAAGGTCTCTCATTGCCCTGAATCTTGCCATTGGGCTAGACTGCCTGGCCAGTCTCTACTTCCCCAGCACTGAGACTACAAGCAGGCATTTTCCTATGGATTCTAAGGACCAAACACAGGTATCCATGTACCTGTATTACTTACTGAGCTATCTCCACAGCCCTAGGGCATTTTATTTTAAATGGGGGTAGAGACTCAGAATATAGCTCAGCAGTCGTATGTTTGCCTGGAACATGCAAGTCTTATGTTCTGCTGCAGAAAAATCATAGTAAAGTGGGGTGGGTCAAGGATCCTAAGGATTTTATTCCATTGTTCTGTCTCTATTGCTGTTAGTACTGAAAAGCCATACAAAGCAGTTAATTTCTTTTTTTTTTTAAGATTTTATTTATTATGTATGCAATGTTCAGCCTGCATGTATGCCTGCAGGCTGGAAGAGGGCACTAGATCGTATTATAGGTAGTTGTTAACCACCATGTGGTTCCTGGGAATTGAACTCAGGACCTCTGGAAGAGCAGTCAGTGTTCTTAACCTCTGAGCCATCTCTCCAGCCTCGCAAAGCAGTTAATTTCAAAACATTATTAAAAAATTCTGCATCTGAAAGATGTCAAGTAGGTCATTATGATTGAAAGAAAAGAAGATCCAAGATACAGACTGTCAACTCTTTGTTTTTTCTTTCTTCCTTTAAGATTTGTTTGTTTTTATTTCATGGATGTTTTTGCCTGCATGTTTATGTATCACGTGTCTGGTGTATCTCACAGAACTAGATCTATAAGCTACAACATGGGTACCGGGAATCAATCCTAGGTCCTCTGTGAGAGAGGTCGGTGCTCTTAACCCTTGAGATTTCTCCAGCCCTTATTACTTGGTTTTTGAGACTGGATCTCATATAGCCCAGGCTGGCCTCAAACACACCAGGTATCGAGAGCTGACCTTGAACTCTGGCTGCTACTACCTCCCCCAGTATTAGAATTATAGGCATGTGCCTGGCTCACCTTTTCATATTGGTGGTGGTGGTGGTGCTTTTTCAAGACGGGCTTTCTCTTTGTTGCTTTGGAGCCTGTCCTGGAACTCACTCCGTACACCAGGCTGGCCTTGAACTCACAGAGATCTGCCTACCTTTGCCTCCAGAGTGCTGGGATTAAACACGTGCCCCCACCGCCCGGAAACCTTTTCATATTTTCAAAAGACATTAACATTTCTAAGACCTATTTTCATATTCTTTTGACACTTTTTCTTTTGGATTGTTGCCATAAGCATAATGGCTCAGGCCTGTAATTACATCTTTCAGCAGATTGAGGTAAGACAGTCAGGAGTTCAAGACCAGCATCTGTTATATGAAAGCCTGTCTTCAAAAAAAGAAGTAAGCCACAGGACGTATAGCTTAATTGGTAGTATGCTCACCCAGCATCCATCTCCAAAGCCTAGGTTTGTACCCCATTAGCTTGGTATAACATAGGAAAACCAGAATCATCATATATGCAGTGATTTCCAGGCTAACCCAGGCTATATGATATCCTGTCTTACAGCACCAGTAATTTAAGGAGTTATTTACATGATTAATCTCTTTCTATTTGAGATGCAGATGCAGCTCACTTATTGTCTTGTGTTTGGAAGTTGCCTTTAGGATTTTATGACTTTGCTTTTCTTTAGTTATAATTTTTGTGGTTCTGGATTTTGCACTAATCAGAAAATCTTTTCCACATTAGGGTTTCACATTTTGTAGTACCATAGTGCTTGCTTCTAGGCAAGATTTATTGGCATCTGAATTATGGAGAGGAGCTTTGCTAGTTTAGGCTGATGCCTTCATTTTCTGTGGGTCTCAACCTTGTTGGGAATCTAGGTCACTGTTAGAACTGGAGCAGCCTAATCTCACACCCTCTGTCAGTGGCTCTCTACAGGGAAAGGAAGTAAGGCTGGGGCATTGGATGATCTGGCTCTTGCCCCATCTCTCAGCAACCTTTATTCCAGGGATAGACTATAGCAGAAGAGGTTTTTGTACCCTTTGTTCTTGGGGAGTAGGTGTTTGGGTGACAGAAGCTCTTTGTTGGTGTCAAGGGAAAGGAGACCACACTTTAAGGGCTCTTTCCTTCCACCAATTGTCTATCAGCTTCTGGTCAGATGGCTTCAGCACAGGACAAATGCTCCTAGAACTGCTGTGATCACAGGGAGCAAACGCACAGGGCTGTGGCCATCTTCAGCAGCATCGCCCTGCAGGGCTCTCTCAACTGAGCCTTCTGTGTTAGAATGGTTGTAAAGACACATTTATTTAGGATAATTACCATTGACTCTCCACTCTTTAGGAATAGCCAGGCAAGAAGAAGGAAAGGCTGCTGTAAGTGTGACAGGAAATGACATCACTACCCCACCAAACAAGGAGCTACCACCAAGCCCAGAAAAAAAAGGAAAGGTAGGTGCTTGGATGAATGGTATAGTTAGTAGTTTTTAAAAACAGAACCTTCTGCTGTATTTGCTTGAATCATGAATGCACTGTCTTTTTTCTGAGCTGTCTTGTCTGTCTTCAAATTTGGATGTTCTTAGAAACTATATTCCCATTTTCTCATATGGTCTATCCCAAACGTCCAAATCTCCTGCTTTACACTTTTGCTTAGATGTTCATTAGACACTTGTCTTCTGTGCTGGAGATTGACCCAAGCCTTTACTTCTGAGGCAGGCACTCTACCACTGTGTCCATGGCCTTTTCAGACTGGATATTAACATGGTAGTCTATGTATAAATGACCTACTTTTCCCTTACTAACAACACAAAGCAAGTATAGACTTATTCTGAAATCTGTTCAGGAAAAAGAAATGAAGGGTTTTTTCACATAGATCATAGCTTCAAAACTTCCTCTTGTACTTTGTAAACATACAGGTGCGACATTTTAGGTATAGTATTGTCTTGTTAAGACATGGGTAAGAAAAGCAGGGTGTGGTGCCTATCCCTTTAATCTCAGCAGTTTGGAAGCCCGAGAGTAGAGGATCCTGAGCTATATGCCAGCCTTTGTATCATAGCAGACATCTTATTTTAAAAAAAGAAGAAGAAGAAGATCCAGTCAGTAATAATTTAATCACTTGCTCGTGGCTTTATTTATAGAATAATTACAGTAACCAGAAGTTAATTCCTGACAAATCTATTTTTAAATTAAATTGTTTATAAGCCATACTGCTGGAAGTTGTGGCACTGCGATTAAGAAAGCATTTCCACAGACCTGGGGGTGTAATTCAGTAGTAGAAAATGTGCTTAGCATACCTAAGCACATTCAAGTTTGAGTTCAAGAATCAAGAAGAAAGTTATAGTTTCTTTATCTCCATCTTGGTATCACTTTGCTATTTACTGAGCTCAGAAGAAAGAAATGCTAATTTTCAGTTGCATCAATCCTCATTGCTTATAATTTTAATTTGAATTGTGTAATTTATACTTTATTTTAATTTGTTTTTATTCTTGTCTGTGTGTTTGATGTTCTTTAAAAATTTTAAATTAAAAATTAAACAACCATCAACCTAAAGCCTTTGGCCACCACTCAACCTGCCAAGACTTCAACATCGAAAGCCAAAACACAGCCCACTCCTCTCCCTAAGCAGCCAACTCCCACCACTACTGGTGGGTTGAATAAAAAACCCATGAGCCTCGCTTCAGGCTCAGTGCCAGCTGCCCCACCCAAACGCCCTGCTGCTGCCACTGCTACCACCAGGCCTTCCACCCTACCTGCAAGAGACGGGAAACCAAAGGTAAGTAGGCACCTATATACTGTGCCAGGAAAAGATTCCCTCTCTGAGTCTCAGGTCAATAGATAGGCTCGTGTTGCTACAGGTGATGAACTGGTGGGATTGAGAAAGTGTAGGGGAAGGGCAAGCGGGTGCTTTTTCCAAAGTTTGGGTGCCCATTGGTGAGAGCATGGGAACACTAGAAAAGCTTTTATTCTTTTTACCTTTGTCTGCCCTGGTCAGAAGCAACATTCCATCTACTTTCAATCTTCTTTCTTCTTTTATTTTTTCCAAAACAGGGTTTCTCTGTGTAGCCCTGGCTGTCCTGGAACTTGGTCCATGGACCAAGCTGGCTTCAACTCAGAGGTCTGTCTGCTCTGTCTCCGAGTGTTGGGATTAAATGTGTGCAGGACCACCGCACAGCTTCTTCCTTTTTCATAGCCGTTCCTTACTCTTCACCTAGTTAGGAACTTTGATCAGTTTCCTGTAGTTCACAGACTAACCATCTAGTTTGGGGTGGGGAATAATTCTCACTTCCAATTCAATGATTTGTCTTTCTCTTTAACCATCCTGCAGAATAGTTTTCCCATTTCTCAGCAACATGCCGACCTTTCTAGCCGAACTCACCAAGGTCCTGGATCATGTGACAACTTGCTTTACTTTTGGCTTTAGGCCACTTGTCACTGGGCTCCTTGTGGTTGATGTTCATCCTTTCATTTCACATTTAGTGCTGCACTTGTTTACAGGATGTTCCTGGAGGAGGGGCTAGCTTCCTTAAGCTCTTGTTTTATTTGAGAAGGGCCTTAGCTTTCCCTATTGGTGTCTTTAAATTCATGGTGGGAAATGATCCCCGTGTTAATGGGGTACTGTCCTACTTTGGTCTTATAAAGTAACCCTAGGGACTGTAGTCTTAAATTGAAACACTGGCTAAGAAGCTGAGAAATCCTTTCATAAATTATAAATGATATCTCAGAAGGCTTTCTTTCTGAACTTTATTCATTTGGCTCCTAAAGATCCAGAATTGATTAAGAAGGTAAAAGGAAGGTGATTGTCATCAATCACAGTAGGCCCTCACTAAGGCTTATTGAACAGTAATCCTAGGAGAGAAAAGGAGGCTGCAGGGATGAGGAGATGTGTACGTGCACTATACTAGTTGCTGTTGGTTGTTTGAGTCAGGGTTTCTCTGTGTAGTCTTGACTGTCCTGGAAATCACTATGTAGACCAGGCTCTGGAGGTCCTTCTGGTTTTGTGGTCTTACTCTGGACAAGTCTGTTCTGATACTCAATGTATCATCTATGCTAGCCTCTTCTTACCTAAGCCTTCTGAGTGTGCTGATACCACAAGCATCAAACACCTTGTTCAAGTTATTTGGAGTACTTGGACTGGATTTTCCTGTCAGTCACTGCAGAGTCCACGGCGTCTCCTGTTTTCTGGTTATGCTTATAAAACCCTATGTGGCCATCACTGACCTGTAGCTCATACTTCCACTTTCCTATTTCCAGCCAGTTACAGACACTTAAGATTTCTGAAAAGCAGACTTGCCATTAAACATTTTGAGAGTGATACACTAAATTCTATTTAAACCACTTCTGCCCTTAAAATGGTAAATTTATAGAAACAACCTAGAGCTAGGAAAACCTGTTCAGAAAACAAAATTGGAACCAACAGTTTAACTGTGGCTAGAAGGGCAGTCTGCTCCAGCAATTTCCTGATTCCACATTCTTCAGTGATTTCTATCACATGTAGCTTTCATTATTTTATCGTTATTACTCCTACCAGCAAAATACTAAGACTGTACTAGATTGTTCTTAATCATAGTCATAATATTGATTTGATCCTCTGTTTTGTGACAAAATCTCACTGTAGCTCTGGCAAGTCTGGAACACACTATATAGAGCAGACTGGCCGTAAAGTAATAGAGATCTGCCTGCCTCTGCTTTCTGAGTGCTAGAATTAAAAGTGGGTGTCCCATGTTCTGCCTGCTCAGGGGTTAAGAGTGCATGCAATTCTTTCAGGGGGCCCAGGTTTGGTTCGAAGCATCCATATTGGGTTTCTGCCAGCACCTGTACAAACATTGGAAGACACACACACACACACACACACACACACACACACACACACACCTCTCTCTCTCTCTCTCTCTCTCTCACACACACATACACACACACACACACACAGTTGGATTGGTGAGATGGTTCGGGGTTAAGAGCACTTGTTAACATTTGATAGGACCTAGATTCAATAGGACCTAGCAACAACATAGTAGCTCATAACCATCTGTTACTCTAGTTCCAGGGGATCTGAAGCCCTCTTCTCACTTCTGTGAACATCAAGCAGGCATATGGTGCACATACATACATTCAGGCAAAGCATTCGTACACATGAAATAAAAGAAATTATAGTAAGACTTCAGAGCAAACTGAAAAGGTTGCAGGTCCCCTGATTCTGACCTTCGAGATTTTCCATAGGCAGTTAGACTTGATTTGATAGAATACCAGCCCGAAATTCTATTTTTTGTTTGTTCTCTTTTTGATTCAGAGTTCCTTTGTGTAGCCCTGGTGATTCTTGCTTTGTAGACCAAGCTGGTTTTGGCTTTTGGTTTGTTTTTACCCCCCCCACACACACACTCTAAATTTCCAATACTACCTTAACTGACCCTCGTTTGAACATTATCCTGTGCCTGATGTTGGTCAGGCCTGACCCTTGTCACCTCTCTGCTGTTTTCCCATCATCTTAAGTCCATAATAACACATCATCAAAGCTGGGCTGTAGCAATGCTGTGTCCTGATCTTTATTCAGATAAAGAAGGAAAGCCTACAGGTACCCTGTGGTCTTGCCAAGAACACACTGTGCTTTAGGAACCAGACTCAGGTTACAGCTCAGGCTCTCACTTAGATTTGATCAGTACTACTCACCTGCAAGAGTGCTGTCCTAGGGGCTGGAGAGGTGGCTCAGTGGTTAAGAGCAGTGGCTGCTCTTCAAGAGGATCCAGGTTCAATTCCCAGCATCCACATGGCAGCTCATACCTGTCTGTAACTCCAGTTCCAGGGGATCTGGTATCCTTACACCAATGCACATAAAGTTAGAGAGTTTTTGGTTTTGGTTTTGGTTTTTGGTTTTTCGAGACAGGGTTTCTCTGTATTGCTTTGGAGCCTATCCTGGCAATCACTCTGGAGACCAGGCTGACCTCGAACTCACAGAGATCTGCCTGTCTCTGCCTCCCGAGTGCTAGGATTTAAGGAGTGCGCCACCAATGCCCGGGTAAATAAAGTATTTAAAAAAAAAAAAAAAGGAGTGCTGTCCTGCCCCCTGCTCTGGGTAAATGTTAACCAAAAGATGGCTAAATATAACTTTTAGTTTCTGGTTCATATGTTTATTCAACCTAATCAAGTAAAAATAGATTGTGGTAGATAAGATACATCCTTTGGGCTTATCACTCTCCCTGGCTTGATGTAGATTGGCTCCCATTTCCTAACCTCAGAGCACAGGGCTCCCTACCTGGCCACTTGCTCTGGTGGTCCTTCTTGTTTTGTTTTTGTTTTATGGTCTTGCTCTGTGGACAAGTCTGTTCTGGAACTCAATGTGTAGTCTGTGCTAGCCTCAAACTCATAACAGTCTTCTTCTCACCTAAGCCTTCCAAGTGTGCTGATACCACAAGCATTAAGCATCTTGCTCAAGTATCTGGAGTACTTGACTTAGAACCATGTATTTTCCTGTCAGTCACCGCAGAGTCCATAACTTCTCCTGTTTTCTGGTTATGCTTTAACTCTATGGGGCCATCACTGACCTGTAGCTCATACTTCCACTTTCCCATTTCCAGCCAATTACAGACGCTAAGATTCCTGAAAAGCGGACCTCACCATCCAAGCCTGTATCAGCCCTCAGACCTGGACCTAAAACCATCCCAACTGTTTCAAAAGCCACATCTCCTTCAACTCTTGTTTCCACTGGGCCAATCAGTAGAAGTCCTGCCACACCTCTGCCTAAGAGGCCCATCTGTGAGTATTAGAGTCTTCCTTGCCCTGGTAACCCAGTGGGAAGAAAATAGGGCTTTCCCTTTGCTTCTGGCTGTAGCACTGACAGTATAGTGACTTTCATGGAACAACCCTCAGTGTTAGGTACCTTGCACGGTGGTAGTCAGGCTGGAACTGGGTTTAACAAGCCCGTATCTCTGAGTGAACTTAACAGCTGTGTGTATTCTGAAAAATCTTGAGTAAAGGTGACTCTTGTGAATTCTCAGGTGAGTTAGTTACTTCGTTGTTAGTGACTTCATAGATCCCAGCGCCTTGTGTCTGTGGGTCCAGCCCCCTGGTAAAACTTCAGTGTGTGGGAAGCCCTAGGTTCAGTCTCCATCATGCAAAAACAGAGGGAATTTAATTTCATAGGCATATTTGATAAGCTACTTGGAAGGCTATTTTGGATAAGTCATTGTTGGGACTGATGAAAGTGGGATACAGTCCTGGCCTTGTGTACTGTGAACACACAGTCTTCATGTGGGTATTAATTTTGGGGGGATTTGTTGTTGTTTGGTTTTTGGTTTTGGTTTTGCTTTGTTTATTTGAGACAGGATTTCTCTGTGTAACCACTCTGGCTGTCATGGCTGGCCTCAGACTCATAGAGATCCGCCTGCCTCTGCCTCCTGAGTGCTGGGATTAAATTCGTGCGCCACCAATTCCCTGCTTAATTTCATGCTGTATCACAGAAACAAGCAGAGTCACTGGCTCAGAGTAGGCATTCTCTGATTGTCAGGTGAATGATGAATCTCAGCAGGTCATCTTCTTTAAAAACACTACTTTGTTTGTGCAGCCACTAAGACTGAGGGAAAAGCTGCTGATGTCAAAAGGATGACTGCTAAGTCTGCACCAGGTAATACTCAGTTTACCTAACACAGCCTGCTTTACTTCCCTACTCTAAGGCTCCCCTCTTTTTCCCATAAACTCCTGCTACTTCTCATATCTTTGCAGCTGACTTGAATCGCTCAAAGACCACCTCTGCCAGTTCTGTGAAGAGAAACACCACTCCTACTGGGGCAGCACCCCCAGTAGGAATGACTGCCCCTCGAGTCAAGCCCATGTCTGCACCTTCCCGGCCTTCTGTAGCTCTTTCTGTGGACAAGAAGCCCATCTCAGCTAAACCTAGCTCCTCTGCTCCCAGGCTGAGCCGCCTGACCCCCACTGCCTCTGGCCCTAGTCTGAAGAGTGTTCGCTCCAAGATTGGGTCGACAGAGAATATCAAGCACCAGCCTGGAGGAGGCCGGGTGAGTCCAGGAGCTGGGGATCTTAGCCTGCTGACTTCTGCTTCTCTTCTGCCACATCAGCCACCAAGGGCGGCTGTTAGGACCTTGCATTCAGTACCAGGCTGAGTTTTGTCCTTCCTTTTTTCTTCCCATATCAATACAAGGAGTGTGTTGGGGTTTCAGTTTACATTTTTCTTTGGGCAGTAGAAAGAGTCTTCTAGTTTACAAAATTTCTAGAAAGTGGATGTGGTGGTTCCTGCCTATATTGTGAACAACAGAATCACTGAATTTGAAGCCAGCTGCCGCAGGGTTAGGGAACATGGAGGGATCTTCAGAACCTATTAGGGTAAGAGACACTGGACGTAGAACCTAGTTATTTATGTGGTTCTTAATGAACACAATTATTTCTTCTTCATCACATGATGTGGGAGGAGTCTGTCTCAAGGAAAACTGGGATGCCCTCTAGTGTCCAAGAGAAGGTGTGCTTTGAAATGAACCATACATACTCTGGCTTTTTTTTTTTTTTTTTTTAAACATTCCAGTCCCAGTTTCCCCCTCCACCTTCTCTTCCTGCTCTCCCCCCTTCCCCCTACCCACCTCCCATCTGCTTCTCTTGGAGGGTAAGGCCTGCCCTGGGAAATCAAGTAAGCCTGTTCCATCACCTTGTTGAGGCAGGACCAAGCCCCCCCCCCACTATCCCCCCCAAGCAAGGTATCTCTCCATAGAGAATGGGCTCCAAACTCTGGCTTTCCTAAACCACAGTGCTTCATATTGAGAAAATCCTAGGCTGGGTTTGGTAGCCCAACTTGAATTGTATCAAAGGGAGGCAGGAGGATCTTTGTGAGATAAAGCACTTGCCACCAAACTTGACAACATGAATTTGATCCACATAAACCCTGTGATGAAGGAGGAAAACTGACTCCTACAAATTTCCTTCTGACTTCCATACATGTGCTGAAGCACAAGTGTTTATATGCATACATGCACATAAAAGTTTTTTTTTAATTTTTTACAAAAGAATATTCTGGTTGCTTGCTCACAGATTTATGCGTTTAGTATTAGCAGCTGTTGGGAAACCAGAATGTGAAGAATTGGTAGCTAGTTTTACCTGAGACTGGAGTAGTTACAATCTCAGTTACATCTTTTGCTAGCACTTAAACTATTATCTCAGCATCCATAGTAGGATACTTAAATTTTGTTAATCTGAAACTCTTAGGGAGAGGACTCATTAATTAAAAACCCAGGTTTAGTTTCCCAGAATCCACATTTGTGGCTCACAACAAACATTTGTTTGTAACTTCAGTTCCAGTGATCCCAGTGCCCTCTTCTGGTCTTTGTGGGTACCAGGCATGCTCATGGTATGTGTATGCAAAACTCTCATCCATGTAAAATTTCAAAAAAAAAAAAAATTAAATAGGAACAAGAATGAGGCAGAATCATGGTTCATTTGGATGACATTGATGACAAACTGGGATGAGGGCCTCAGAGTTACTATTGGTGGTAAACAGTGGTTGCCGTGAACAACCAGCCCAGTGCCCGGACTGATTCACAGATGACCTTTCTCCCCACCTTTGCTCTTCTTAGTTTTTCATACTATAAAAGCTAAAGAAATTCTGAATAACTTGGGCTAGTGGTTGCATTGTCTGTGGCAGTGAACCTGATGAATGCTTATCTTCATTGGTGACTATGACTATGTGCTTGGGTAGCAGAGTGAAGTCAAGAGGGCATTGTGATACAAAATGCTCACAAAAAACCACCTATTTGATCTTCTTAGCCTTGAAGCTCTTCTCCATAAATGCATGATCTCCTCTTTATTTCAGCTCTGGCTTGTGGTTCCTCTTCCTGTGCCCCTTGCTCAGGAATCTCTGAGGATCTGGTCTAGGAGTGTGTTGTCCTAGGGGCAAGTGTGATCTGCTTCTTTCTGCCTAGCATCCTGGCCTTTTTTTTTTTTTTTTTTTCCAACCTTCTTCCTTGGCATTTGGGCTCTCATCTTTGTTTGAAATTTGCTCCCTTCCCCCACCCCCCTTATCTCCATCCAGGCCAAAGTAGAGAAAAAAACAGAGGCAGCTGCCACAGCTGGAAAGCCTGAACCTAATGCAGTCACAAAAGCAGCTGGCTCCATTGGGAGTGCGCAGAGACCACCTGTTGGGAAAGTGAGTTTTATTTAGGTTTATCTCTTTGAGGTAAAATGGTAACGTCACTCTTGTAGCCTGAGTCATTCTTTTCTACTTTGTTCCTGTTCTTGACTGGTTCCTGCTTCTTCCTGTGTTCCTTCCTCTAGTTAATAACTCTGCCATCACACAGTTTTTACATCAACCCTGAAAGCTAACTAAGTCTGTTCATCATTCAGGGATACTTACTCAACTTGATGAAGGGAACTTGCCAACTGTATGTCACTTCCTTGACATTTGAAACTCACTTAGTATTCATACAAATCTGTCATACCCAGGTTCTTCCTCAGAAGACAACAGTGGCAGTACCCAGATCCCTGCCACCCTGTCTTCTGACCTCATAAAGCTGTTGCTGGCTCCCTGGCCTTTTTAATTTTTTTTCCTGGAGATGCCCTTTAAAACCAAGGCTCTGGTGCACTGCTGCTGAGCTATACCATGATATCCCTCCCCCAGTTCATCTCTTAGCTGGACATTAGGGTTCTCATCCATGGTGGAAAACCACCATGTGGGGGATGCAGTGTCTGCTGAAGGGCATTGGGAAACTGAAACCCCAGCTTTGTTGTGACTTCACACTGGGTTGTCTGGGTTCTGTACCTTAAGGACCAAGATAGTCTGTCAACCCCAGGAACTGCTGTGATGGGGATAGTCGCATTATGAAAGCTGCATTGTGAGTTCTAGTGGGTCATCACTAAAAACCTGTAGTCCCATTGTTTATGCCTCACTGAAATGTACTAACAGTGGTCCACTGTTAAGGTCATGAAGGAAGTTAAGAAGTGAGAAGAACATGGTAAGGTGTCTGAATTAGCGTTCCTAGGATGGTCTCTGTGCTCAGCATTTCATTTGCAAAGGTCCCCTAGTTCTGAGGAAAGGGAGGAGAAAGCATCTAGAAGTATTTATTCTTGAGAGCCAAAGAAGGACTCTATGTTACTCAGTTCCAGGCTAGGGTATTGCAGTGCAGCATGGTTGTGCCCTCCTGAATTGTACATCACTGTAGCACCATTTTGGTCTGTCCTGTTATACATCTGGAGGATTCAGAGGATGGTAAAGGCAGGTGTGCTGGCTATAATCCCAGCAGTGTTCTGGATGAGACAGGAGAGTCGGGAGTTTGAGGCCTGATTGGGGTACATAGCAAGTCCTAGCCTTGCTTATCCACATAGACCCTATTTCAAACAAACAAAACAAAAAAATGAAAATGAAGTCCCTCCTGTTTATCACCTAGTGTGTTGAATGAAAGTTTTCTTTCATTGCGGGAGTCCTGCCGCTTCTTGAAAGCCTGAAACAGATGGGTGAAGTGTGCCAGGTACTTAGTCTATGGCCTGTGCTCACCTGGTGTCCAGTTCAGGATTCTGTGGCCATTTGCCATTTATATCAACAGTGTGTCTTCCTTCCTGTTGTTATCAGATCTGTGCTGCTAGCCAGCTGCCCAACAATTCTTAGAGCAGCTTTTGTTTCTGGGGCTGAGTCTGGCTGCACGTTCCTCGACCCAGATGGGAACTGGTCCAGAGCATCAAACCCTTGCTGGAGAAAGCTGGAGACCTTGTATCCATTCTCCAGAGAAAAGTCTATACAAGAAGTTGGGGCAATATTTGGGTGGGCATCAGGGGGCCTGTTGAGTCTTAGAAACCACAGCCCAGCCCCAGGAGCAGTGAGGACAGCCATAGCACTGTTAAGCTTCTGCCATTGCTTTGTTCACTCCCTCCCTTTGCTTTCATGTTCCGTTTCCTGTGTTTTCCAACCCCTATTCTAACAGAAGTGTGGACAGAGGTTTAAATACACTCTTTGTTGGCATTATGATCACATGTGTACTTGCTCCGTGTAAGGTCTAACTGCCCTCTCCCTTTGTGTTTTTTGTTTTTTTCTCTCTCTGTTCTCTAACACTCCAGGTCCAGATAGTCTCCAAAAAAGTGAGCTACAGTCATATTCAATCCAAGTGTGGTTCCAAGGATAATATTAAGCATGTCCCTGGAGGTGGCAATGTAAGTATAAGCTCTGATCAGTTAGCATAAGAGGCCTAGTCCCAGACTGACAGAGAAGTTTGTTTCTGTTAATTTACTACAGGCAATCTCAGGGAAAGATAGCCATCATTGCTTCAGGATACATTGGTGGGCTAGTTTAAGTAACAACCAGATTTTTAGCTGAGGACATACACTTTCTGCAGAACCCTGGACTCAGCAAGGACATTGCCTTAGATTTAGATTGTCAGGTGTTCACAGCAGTCTATGTTAGTGTGAGGTCTGTCTTTCAAAGGAAACAAAACGTGGATGATCTGGGATTCATGAAGCTCCCACTCCCTCCTGGCATGCTGGGATTCGAGGTGTGTGCCAGCACAACCTGCATGGGGAGCATGGTCTTGTCAGGTAGTTCATTCTGTTGATTATTTTCTAAACAGACATAGTATCTTATCTTTAAATGAAAGCCAGAAGGAAGCAAGAAAGCAAATTGTATATGGTGAGAGCAGCTTGCAGGCACAGACTCTAGGGGCACACGGGACTATACCTGCAGCGCTCTGACTGCTCGAAAAGAACAAGTATTCCTGGGAAAGTACATATCTTCCATGGCTAACAAGCACATTTAAAAATTAGTCTGTAAAATAATCATGGCTGCTATGTCTGGTACTGTAATCGCAGCATTCTGAAGGCTGAAGCCTGCATCAGCAAAGGTGAGTGTATGTCAAAACAACAAAGTACATGTTGCTTAGCTGAGGGAGGCTCCCACTGTCCTGTGACGTAACTTGTTGTTTATGTAAAATATACCAAGTGTGGCTGGAGACAGGTGGTTCGGTGGTTATTTGAGTCTCTGTACACACAGGGAAGCTCACAACTATATACAACTCTAGTTTTAGGAGCTGACTCCTCCTTTCTGACCTCTGTGGGCACCAGATATGCAAATGATGCACAGATATAACGTGCAGGCAAAATACTCAAACACAAAAATAAAAATGCATATTTTTAACATAAAATGTAAAAAGATTTACATTGGTAAATTTATTCTGCGTTTTAGAGGTCATCCTTTTGCAGAGATAGGAAATAACCTGAGTGCTGAGTGGATGGGGTACATGTATGCAGCAGAGTACAGATCATTTTCTGGCCCTTCTGTGCGTTTTTGTTGTCGTGAAGCCTATAGGAGTCCAAAGCTACACACACGGCCACACACTCACTTGGGGATATGCATTGAAAAGCGCTGGAAGGAAGTTCAGTCAGTGTTAGTCTAGGTTCCCATGGGCAAGGAGTTGCTAGGTGGGTTTTGAGACAAAACCTGATGGGCATTGTAGGACAGCCTTGGAGTTGGTGTTGTATTCTGCAAAGAGGCAAGGTTCTAGAGGGTGGAAAGAATGACTTGGGGCAGGGGAATGGAGTCAGAGGTAAAGACAAGAGCCACCGTTGATTACAGGCTCTTGTAAGCATTTTTAGATGTGACCTTGACCTTGACCAAGCTTGAAATGGGGATGACCAAGGGAGCTCATGAACGCGGGCTGGGCTCATCCACTATCTGTGTCTTCTTTCTGATGGTATTTGCTTTCTGCTTTTCTGTTTAGGTTCAGATTCAGAACAAGAAAGTGGACATTTCCAAGGTCTCCTCCAAGTGTGGGTCCAAAGCGAATATCAAGCACAAGCCTGGTGAGTGGTTCTGAGCCAGAGCCAGGCAGTGGTGGCACACGCTTTTCATCCCAGCACTCAAGAGGCAGAGGCAGGCAGATCTTTGTGAGTTCGAAGCCAGCCTGGTCGCCAGAGCGAGTGCCAGGATAGGCTCCAAAGCTACACAGAGAAAACCTGTCTCCAAAAAGAAGGAAGGAAAAAGAAAGGGGGAGAGAGAGAGGGAGGGAGGAAGGAAGAGAAGAGAAGAAAAACTGAGTTACCTCCTTCCCAGGGTGCCTGATAGAAAAAGCATAGCTTTCTAACCCTGCCAGAGATAGTGGCTGGGCACTGCTCTTCTGTTGGAGGGTAACAGTTTGTCTCAGCTATTTTCACAGCTGTTCCCTTGGTGATATTTACATTCTGTGCCTGGCAATCTTGTATGCTATGTGCCTGGCACTGTTGACCTGGGCCAGCCTCCCAGATTAGTATGCTGGGAGCTAGTGTTGGAAGGAGTGGAATGATGCTTCAGACTCGTTTCAGATCCTGTAACAAATGTAGCCCCCAAGCAGGGACTCCTTGGTGTCCAGCCTTGACAGGAGAAGAGAGAGCTTTTGGAATGCTGCCTGAACCTGAGGATCTAGTAGAGTTTCCCTCTGGCAGCATCACTGACAGTGTCCTACTGAGGCCTCTGAGAAGAGCCTAAGCACTTGCCTGGCTCGTGCTCTGGTTCCAGCCCACAGTAGACAAGGGGCTGTCTCCTGAGATTAGTTCCTGGGACAGACAGTTAAAATTGAAGGCACGGAAAATTCCTCCCCTTGGTAGACCAGACCCCAGGCTAGTTTGTTTGTTTTACTTTCTTGGTTTTGTTGTGGTTTTGAACTTTCAGCAGTCCTTCTACTTATCCTTTCAAGTACTGGGATTGCGATATCCAATTTAGATTGTATTTTTCAGTGGAAGACCAAACACTGTGGTCCTTATTTTTATCTGGGAAATCCATTTACGAGATACCTGTTATGTTTTTGTTTAAATTAGATATAAAGAAAAAGAGGGAGGTGCAAGATGAGAATTATTAACCAGTTTCTTATAGGGCCCGACAGAGTAGGGAGACTAAGAGAGAAGAGTTAATGGCTAACCGCCATGGCTGGTCGCCATAGAGAGGCAGAGAGAGCACGCATAGGTGGGAGAAAAGAAGAGCAGAGCAGAGAGAGTAGAGAGAGAGCGAAGCATGGAAGTTGAAACTTTTAAAGGGAAGACTGCGCATGCTCACTGAGGTTCCACGCATGCCCAGAATCCTCACGCAGGCTGTAAATGCATGGTGGGTGATGTGGTGATGGCACATCCCTGTGCGTGGCCTGACTGTTGTCAGGGGCGGGGTCTGTCTTGAGCCAATCAGCATTAAAGCCTGACCCTTTCAATACCTCTTGCCCTGATGGCACTAAGGGAGTTAAGGCCAGTGTTGACCGGGCTAGCTCTACAGTGGGGAGGAAACCTGGGTAGTTTGTCAGGAACTTGAGTAGGTATAGGCTGAGGGCCGGTGGAAAGGGGATAGGAGGATCAGAAGGTCATGCCTGCCACGTGCACCTTTCCCCCTGGAGCTCTAGTCTGGCAGTGTACACTCTACCTTGCCCTTGAGTGCAGAAATCCCCCACTTCTACAGACCCCAGCCAGAGAGCACTGGGCCCTGTCAGCCTTTTCTCAACTCGTACTTCTAAATCTGCCCTTTCTATTTTACTTGTTCTTCTTTTCTCTCTGTGGCTCAAGCAGTTTCCTTATCCCTGTTTCCCTGTCCTTCACCAAGCATTAACTTTAGCAACTGAACAGCCAAGGCCCTGGCTGATGGAGCACTTAGGAGAATAGTAGGACCTGGAGAGTCAGAAGCCATTATCAGGCTGGGCAGCGGTGCTTTGAGAGCAGCCTTTCCTCCAAGGGGAGGTATTGCCATTGCCTCTTTTGTTCTCAGAACCACCTTGGAGCTGGTCTGGTCATTTTCCTTGTTTTTAGAAGAGACAGGCACAAAACCACCCATGGCCAGGCTCAGATTCTTGTCTAGGCTCCTGACTCTTCTACAGGAGTATTCTTCCACCCTCGGTGACTAATTCCTTTGTTGTTCCAGGTGGAGGAGATGTCAAGATTGAAAGTCAGAAGTTAAACTTCAAGGAGAAGGCCCAGGCCAAAGTGGGATCCCTTGATAATGTTGGCCACCTACCTGCAGGAGGCGCCGTGAAGGTAGTGAGTGGTCACCAGTGCATAGCTAGAGTGGTGGGGACTATGCAGTTGAAATGGGACTTAGCAGGACTGTCACCGCCCCTCAGTTTCTTCAGAAGTCATATGTCTAGTCACACCATTGCTGTCTCCATTACCAACATTAGTCTAAAGTGAGGCAGAGGAGGCAAAGAGCCCCAGCCACCTCTCAGCTGGTGGCAGTGACTGCTCCTGAGAGATATGGTCTTATTTTTTGGTCACATCCCAGCCATTTTCTGATGGAATGTGGGTTGGAGCCTAGGTGAGATGGTAAGCTGACACATCGTTACCTGACTGTCATTTAAACTGCCAGAGACAGGGCACTACTGGTGGCCTACCCTGTCCCAGACTCTGGAAGAGCATAAGAACAGAGGCAGACTTGCATATCTTGACATTGGCTGGGCTTCTCCTCTTTCCTCCCCTTCCTCTTCCCCCACCGCTCTCTCCACACTGCCGTGAGACCTTTTGTGTGCCAAGACTCCATCTATCCCTCATTCCGTGTCTGGGCAGGTGGGGAGACTGTGCAGGTAGTGGCTTACCTGCTTCAAGCACCACTCTGCTGATGCTCAGGGGAAGCGGGCAGGAGCAGGGGCACGGTCTCTCTGCACATTCCCTCCACCTGCCCACTGAGCTTTTGCACTCTGCAGTTTTCTTTTCCTCCCATCCTCTGGTTCCAGCCCTGGCTCCACTTGAGTTAACGTTTTGGGACTTTGCTTTTAGAGTTTGATCTCCCAGACTTGAGAGGCATTATCCTTCAGTCTGTATGAGGGGACATTACAGATTTGGGGTCTGGTTCATGGCCACAGCAGGAAGTGAACGCACCCCAACGGTCATCCCCAGGCTTTTCTGCTACTTTCTTTTTCCACTTTTCTCTTTTTTGTCTGTCTCCACTGTCACCTGGTGGGCTTTCTGGGACATGGTGGTCCAGCTCACTAAGAGCTCCCATTGTTTTCTGCTTGACCCCTGCTGCATATCCTGTTGGGCTCTGTAAGCCCCTGAAATAACTGTTCCTGGCTGTACCTGTTTCCTCTATGTCCATGTGCCCTGAATGACACCCAGCCTAGAAGATGAGCATGCAGGGTGGTGCCTACTTAGTTACCAAGGTCACTCTCAGCACTGGCTGCAGTCTGGCAGCCAGGCTTAGTCCACTGTTGTGTGCTCTTCAGAGTTTGTTGTCTTAGCCGTGTTTTGTTTGGTATCAGCCTTGATGAGATTCACAGAGTTCCATAATGAGACTCCCAAGAGTGTCTTGAGAGTCATTGGTAGGGAAAGACACCTGGTGTAGAGCCAGTGGTTGCTGGGGGCGTGGGTTGGGAAGGCTGTATATGAAACCTCATCACCATCATGCATGCCACTCCCTCCCGGACTGACCCTTCACTGTCTCCCCCACTGTTTCATTGTAGACTGAGGGCGGTGGCAGTGAGGCCCCTCCGTGTCCAGGCCTCCCTGCTGGGGAGGAGCTGGCCATCCCAGAGGCTGAGCCTGATGCTGGCGCCCCTACTTCAGCCAGTGGCCTCAGTGGCCACACCACCCTGTCAGGGGGTGGTGACCAAAGGGAGCCCCAGACCTTGGACAGCCAGATCCAGGAGACAAGTAAGTGGCTGGGCTTGGCCTAAGGGCCAGCCAGGGGCCCTGTCACTGGCTGAAAATTGAAACTCCTTTGTTTTATAACTGGAGTGTGGCCTAAATTTTAACAAAGTAACCTTTTATCTTCCAGGCATCTAATGATGACATTCTGGTTCGTCTTCCATCTCCCCTATGTTCCCTCTCTTGTCCGTCCCCCTCGTCCCTCCCCCGTGTTACCCTCTCCCACCCCCCCTCACGTGTCACTGCAGATTGAGACCTACAGGCTGACGTTCCGGGCAAATGCCAGGGCCCGCACCGACCATGGGGCCGACATTGTCTCCCGACCTCCCCACTTCCCTGGCTGCCCAAGCTTGGGGCCCCGGGCCACGGGCTCCCTTTCCCGGGCTATCTACTAGAATTGTAAGCTCTTGGGTGCTGGGCGGCCCTTTAGGCCTCTCTCCCTCCTGCCTAGCTTGCTCAGGCAGCAGCAACCCTGCTGCCTTCACCTTCTTCCACCCTCTTGTGGGCCCAGCTCCAACCTACTATCCCACCACTGCACCGCTGCTGTATGGAGAAAGTTGGGAGGAGGGGTAGGAGTCTACTGGCATCTCTGTGGGATCTATGGTGGGGTGCTGGGTTCCAGTCTCCTGATGTTTGGGTTTTTTGGACCAAACCCAAAAGAAACTGACAAACCCTCCCTCTCTTCCCTGGTCCAACTTGGAGGGACTAGTAGAGGTGATGAACTCCAGGTGGTGACCAGCACTGACTGAATCCCCTGGAACCTAAACCACTGCCTTCTCCTTGACCCCCACAGTAGAAGCCACCCTTCAAGTGGTACTAGGCTCTTTTGTGTCAAGTTTCCCACTGCTTATCATACCTGAGTAGCTGCTGTCTCACTTTCCTTTTTTCATGTTTTATTCTTTTTTTCCAAATAACCTATGAACTGGTGGTGTAGTTTGCTGCGGGTTGAAGCCATGTCTAAATGAGAGTTCTCAGTAGGTGATGAAGGAAGCAGGGGAGGAGGTCCTGAGTCTCCTGAGGAGGCTGTCAGGCACTGGGGGCTGCCCTTACTTTGGGCAGCTTGGGATCCTGTGTGAAGAAAAGTGAGAAGCAGGGCTACTGCCTGGAGAGCAGTTGGACAGCTAGAGCCGGCCAGTGTGACTGGCTGTGCTGGCATTGCATGTATGCTGCCCCTACCCCCAACCCAGAGGCTGTTTTTAGCATTTGTCTCATTCCCTGGGATGCAGTGGTCATGGTGTGATACAAAACCAGGGCTGGAAAAACAGAAATGAAGGTCAAAATCCCTGACCTGCACCTGCAGGCCAAGGCACCTAAACCCTCACGTCTGGGGGAACCTGAGATGTCCAGAGTGCATGTGAGCAGTGGGGAATCAGGTGTGGAAATTGAAAACTAGAATGTGTGAGACTGAGGCCATCCCACTTTCCTTCTGGTGTGACTGGAAAGGAGGAGAGGCCAGGCCAATCGTGGGGGCGCAGCCACTCCAGTGCCGTCTATTTATGGGTGGGTGGGATGGCTGCAATGCTGGGAAAATCCTGGGAATTATATCAACACAAGATTCTTATTGCACTTGTATTTTTTGTATTAAAGTTTGCATGGTTTCTAATAAAGGATTCAAACCTAAGTTTGTGGTGAAATGGCCTGGGAGTGTCTAAGGGCTCCTCTGGTGGGGCATTTTCTGCTGTGCAGATTTGCCTGTCAGGAGGCTGGCCCAGATCTGACCCCCCTTGACCCTCCTCCTGACACAGGCTCCATCTCTGCTTTGGGTACAGCTTGAGCAGGTAGAGTTCTGTGCTATCTCTCTACCCAAGGAAGCTATCCCTGAGCACATTTTTGAGGCAGCAGTTTTTTTTTTTTTTTTTTCAGATACCTTTACACCCAGCTCTCCAAACACACACACGGAATTGCAGGGGCCTGTGGAAAAAGGACTGCCTTAGCCATGGCGTGGCTGCCTGTAGAAAGCTGCATGGAGCCTTTAGTGTCAGTATTTTTTTAGCATGAAAAGGCAAGATGGCACTGGAAAGAAGGAAGCCGTGGGGCTGGGGAGCTGATGGCTGAGGGCATAAAGGTATTTGCTAACCTCCTTGATGTTGGTCCTAAGGCCTTGATGCTGAAATTGACAGGAGTCCATTGGCCAAAGGATTTGAGACAGGAAGGTGGCCTAGGCTCTCCACAGGTCCAGCTGCCTGGGGTGGTCCCACAAGTCAGAACCTAAGAAGGCTGATGGGGACCATAGGCCATGTGATGTGTATACTTTGCAACGCTTGGGGGTGAGATCTTTCTGTACTTTGAGTTTGCTCATGGCTTAGCCATTACCTGTGTCTGTCAATTGTTGTACTGATTTAAACAATAAAGCTGCCTGACATCCCATCACACAGGCTGTGTTGCTTGTCATGTTAGTCCCCGTACCTACTTATCTCTTTGTACCTTCAGCCCCTCCCTTCCTAGCAGGCTGTGTTGTGGGCACCACTAGGAGCAGCTGTGTCGGTGCTGAGACCAGCCAAGCAGCTGAGATGTGCTGACAGCTCTGGCAACTCACTCTTGAAGGGGGAGGTGTTAAGCTCCATCTTCCCTTAGGGCTTGAGACATGTTCCCCCTGATTTGGGGCTAAGAGCCCAGAATCCTGAGAGCCCTTAGGATGACAACAGCACTCACAAGGGATAAATATAACTTTATTTTAAATAAACATTTGCACTCTGTACATAGCCCCAGCGGAAGAGGGGCTCAGTCATCAGCTGTCTTGCGTACATCAAAACTGCCACAAGGTCCCCGAAGCAGCTCCGCCAACAGTGCAAGCAGCTGCCCATGTTCCTGCTGCACACTAAGTGGAAGTGCAGCCAGCTCACTTCGGAGGCTCCGTTCCACCATTCGGCCTAGGGCTCGCCGCAGCTCCCTTAGCAACCGAACAGTTCGCGAATCACCTTCTAGCCGCAGCAGGTCACTGTCACTCAGAGAGATGGTGGCTCGGCGCCCATCATCTGGAGAAGGGAAAAGATAGGGAGTGTACATTGGCCATGGCCATGCCTCTGAGGCCATGATTAAGCCCTGGGGAGTGGTGGAGGTGAGATACCCACCACGTATGTGGACGTCCCCGTCTGTTAGGAGCAACACAGCTAGTGGGTGCACCTGGGAGGAATCTCGAACAAAGACGCTACCGTTGGACTTGACGGCCATGAAATATGTCAGCCATCGGCTCCGTAACCGGGTAGCCTCCCTAGGGAACAAAGTGCTGTGTAATGTGAAGCTAACCCTCTGGCCATTCTCTGAGACCCTCCCTCGCTAGTCCTGCCTGCCACCCACCTGTTAATGGTTGACTTGTGCAGCAAGATGTTGCCAGATTTGGTCCTGTAAGTGACACTGTTGGGCTTGAACTTCCCCTGCCGAGTCACCTTACCTTGCCTCACCTAAAGGGACAGGAAATATGAGCAAGGAGCTAGGGGTGGAGAGGTGGTGACCGGAACAGCTCCCTATCCTAGAGGAGGCACCTGGATGAGGTTGGGGTAGAGGCCGGCCATCAGCACACCCTTCACCAGCTCCTCTTCCTCACTGTACTCATTGCACTGTGCGGAGGGCAGTGTGCAGTCAGAGGGCTTGCCCACTAGGAAAGCTTCATAAATATTCTCTGAGAACTGCTTGATGAGCCCTGGGGAGGCAAAAAAAAGTACAGTATGAAGAGACGCCCTGACTCAAGGCTAGGGATGGGAGCTCTGTGGGTGGGAGGTGCTCAGGAAGGCCCTCTTGGGGGCCAGGCTGACCGTGGATGAAGCGCAAGCTGGGGGCGTACAGAAGGTTTTCTTCCAGGTAGTTTTCCCGGGAGGTTCGGTCCTGCCAACGCAGCACCTCCTCCCAGCCAGCCACAGCACGCACGAAGGCCAAATGGTCACTGCCACTGTCATGGCTCAGCAATGCCTTCACCTGGGAGAGAACGTACGGGGGTCAGGAGAATAGTGACTAGAGTCCGGCTCAGGACAGTGGGTGAGGTATGAAGAAACAAACAGCAAGAGGGCTATAGGAAACACTGGCTCTAACCTTGTCCACCTCTGCCCGGTTCTGCAAACTGCTGCTGAAGGGGTCCCGGGTAAGGCAGGAAACAACCACCAGCAGTGGGTGCAGGCAACGGAAGATGGCAGCCAACACTATGGCCTTGGCCAGTCGGGGGTCGGTAGAGATGTGGGCTAGGCGCTGCCCCAAGGTGGTCAGGTATTCCCGCTGGTCCAGCACCCCTGCAACAGCTCAGCTGTCAGTCCCACCCATGAGCTACTCCACACCCCAACCATTCCTAGCCCCCATTTACCGATCTCCTGGAGCAGTATCACAGCCTCATCCACTGCCTTGATATTTGGACTGTCCACAGCTTTGGAGAGGAACTCCACTGCCTACAGCAACAAGAACCACACCCCATGAGCCTGTGTCCCATTTGTCCCGTCCAGGAGCATGCAGCCCTTCCCCAGCCCTGCCTCTGCCGCACCGTCTTCTCAGGCATGTGGATTTTGGCTTGCAGCACCAGGTTCTCGAGAGGTGTGCGCAGGATCTCTGGCACTTGGAAAGGAACCATTTTCTCCAGCCGGCTCCTCGGGAACAAGTGGTAGGCAAACCCTGACTGGCAGCGGCCTGCCCTGCCCCGGCGCTGGATCACATTTGCTCTAGACACCCACACAGTCTCCAGGCAGGACACCTGAGGAAGGCAGGACACACACATGCTACAGGCCTTGCCTACCCACTTCTCCAGTCTCCCTCATCACCCCCTCAACAGGGACATTTCCCATAATTATGGCCTTCATACAAAAGTATGTCTACAGCAGATAAGGACGGGGGGGGGGGGGGAAGCAGAAAAGGGGGGTCCCCCCCAAAAGGGGGGGGGGGGGGGGGGGAACCTCAGAACAGGAGTCCTCCCCCAAAGGGTGGGTTGGGTCCAAGAGAGAGGCACCACCTTAGTCTTCAGGTCATAGCGTTCCTCCTTGTGCAGGCCGCTGTCTACGACATGCACAATGTCGTTAATTGTGATGGAGGTTTCGGCAATGTTGGTGGCCAATACAATCTTCCGCACCCCAAGTGGAGGCTGCTGGAATATGGCCTTCTGATCCATCATGGGGATATTGGAGTGCACTGGTGGGTAGCAAGATGCAAAAGGGCTACAGGCACTGTTCCAGCCAGAAGAATCTCAGACCTCAAGGGCAGGATAAGAATTTGGATCCCCCACCCATCCTTGGTCCTGATAAAGCAGAAGCCATTTGATAAAACACACCCTCAAGGAAAAACGGTCAGAGTCAGAAACATGAGCCACCTGAGTACAGGTTGGGTCACTCGCTGTCACAGAGGCAGGACTCATTGCCAGGCATATCCAGACTCTCACCTGGTAAGATGAGGTACTTGCTCTCATGCATGCCCAGGGCCTCCTGGAGACGTTGCTGCACTCCTTTGATTTCTTGCCAACCAGGCAGAAAGCACAGGATCCCACCTGTAAAGGGGCCCTTCAGCCATGAGCTGGTTGGTTCAGCTAGTAGGGAAAGGGAAGTAGCTGAGAAGTGGGAGAAGCACCCACCTGGTTCCCCACGGGCATCGATGTGCAGAACCAAATCAGTCACAAGGTCCAAATCAAGTGCACATTCATCTTCAGACTGGGGTGGGGAAGAAAGGCCAGTCACAGTCATTGGGTGGAGTCATACACAGGACACAACAAAGGACAGAGCGAGGGCGAGCTACTTGTGTGTGAACTCCAGCTCTCACACACTTGCCACACACACAGGCATGATTAATCCCCAGTTCTTATCAAGGAGACAAGCTTGGGAAGATAATATACTCTATTATGAAGACAGGGAGGAGGGAATCTAGAGGAAAGCCCAGGGACTATGGGGTGGGTATCCCTCACCTCGTGGTGCCGATGCCGGTGTGGGTACTGGTGTTTGCCTAGCTTGGCCAGGATGTCTTCCAGGTAGTGTTCCTTGACGGGATACATGAAGCCAGGCACCTTGATGACAGGGCAGCCCCCAAAGTATCGGGAGAAGCGCTCATTATCACCTGTAGCACTCATGAGCACCAGCCGAAGGGCTGGGTTGAGCCGCTGAAGGCCTTTGAGCAGAATCAGCAGGAAGTCTGTGTTCACATCCCGCTCATGGACCTCGTCCACAATGACGTGGCTCACACCCTCCAGGCTGGGGTTGCTCTGCAGCTTCCGCAGCAGGATGCCCACAGTGCAGAAGAGCAGTGCCCCACCTCGGGCTGGGGGCTTGCTTTCCAAACGCACCTGGAAGCCCACATTCCGGCGCAAAGAGGGGCCCAGTTCATGGCTGACCCGCTGCGCCACAGACACAGCTGAGATTCGGCGAGGTTGTGTGATGATCACATTGCAGCGGGCACCTCGGCCTTCAGTCACATAGCGCTCCAACAGTAGCTGAGGGATACGTGTGGTCTTCCCACAGCCCGTGTCCCCAGAGATGACCACAACTGGGTGCTGTTCAATGGCACTGAGGATAGTGTCCCGATGAGGGTCCACAGGTAGCTGTGGGGCCTCCTGCCAGATTGGCCCTCGCCTCCGCCACAGCTCTAGCAGGCTCTGGCTCAGACGTACCTCCTCCGCTTCTGACAGGGGCATGTATGGCTTGCCTGTGATAGGGTCACTCAAGGGCCCTGAGTCCTTGCCTAAGGGCAAGATGTCATCATTCTGCAGCCGGAGTTCTGGAGAAATCCATGAACTGTCCACAGGGTACTAGGGGACGAGGAAGCAAGCAAAATGACATAAGTGCCTGTCTTCCTACTCCATGCAGTCAGCCCCTCCAAAGGATTCACCAGGGTCAGATGTTTAGGGCCCAACCTACAGAGCAGAGAACTTGGGCTCTGACTGCCCTGATACCTCACGGGCATGATGACTAAGGGAACTTAGGGCTCCAAGGCTCCCTGCTCAGTGGGAAAAAACAGATTTTCTAGGCCTGTGGCAGGCAGAAAGAAGCAGCCTTCAGTCTGGAGAGGGGAGACAGTGGAATGGAAGGCAGGACTCTTACATGACTCAGGAAGGCCTCTATCTTGCGAAGGATGGGCTCGGGCACCTGGATGGTACATGGCCGGCGCTGGGTCTCACCCAACTCACGCAAGGAGGCCAGGTTGTACATAGCATGGGTAAGCGGCTCATTGTTCCTGTCCACCAGGCCCAGGCTCTGCAGGAAGACAGGAATGGCTCTTATAACCCCAGCACTCAGGAGGTGAAGGTAAGAGGCTTGCCAAATTCCAGGCTAGTCTGGGCTACAAAGTATAACTCTAATAGGAAGTTTAAAAACCATTTTTTTTCTAAAGAACTAAATGTGGTATCAGAACCCTACCACTTGCCCAGGCACAATGGCCCAAGTGCATTCCTCTGGTGCCGTCACAGCCTTCCTTCCAA